CTCCCTAAGTCACCTCCATCCACCCAGAGCCCAAATATTCTATGTTGTGGGAAGAACAGTGGCCTCCATAATCTGTCCTCATCCTAATCCCCAGAACCTGTGAGTTACGTTCCCCTCCATGACAAAAGTGACTCTGCAGGTGTGATTAAGTTAAGGATCTTGAGATGGGGAGAGTTTCCTGGAAAATCCAGTGAGCCCTATATAAGCACAAGGGCCCTTATAAAAAGGGGGCAGGAGGGTCAGAGCCAACGAAATGGGATAATGGAGGCAGGGGTCACAGAGAAAGATGTGAAGACACCCCACGGCAGGCCTTGGGAGACAGAGCAAGAGGCAACAAGCCAAAGAAGGCGGGCAGCCCCTAGAAGCTGGAAATGGCAGAGAGACCGGTTTCCTCTAGAGTCTCCAGAAGGAACTCAGCTCTGCTGACACCTTGACTTTTGAAATTCTGATCTCCAGAACCCTAAGATAAGAAATTTGTGTTGTTGCCAGCCACCAAGTTCGTGGTGATTTATTTAGTAGCACTAGGAAACAAAGGTAGTCTACAGCAGTCTAGAACAATGTTGCCTGCCCTTCAGGGGAAACTTGGCAAATGTCTGGAGACATTTTGGGTTGTCACCTGGTGTCTAGTGAGTGGACAGCAGGGTTGCTGCTAACCATCCTTGCGTGCACAGAAAAGGCCCCACAACACGGAATCCATCATTCAGCTCAGCATGCTAAAAGTGCCAAGGGACCCTGGTTCAGCATGATTCTGGAGGAAGGCCTTCCCTGATCCACTCTCCCTCCCGTCCTCTTTAAAAGCAAGTCTCCATGCATACCATTTCTGGTATTTCTTTTGAATTGAGGGAATCAGCTTGCTTCCCTATGAGAATAGCAACCCCCAGCCCAACCCAAGAAGGTAAGTCAACATTTGCTCTGCCAAGTCCCATAAAAACGTCACCGCACTCCACTGTGCTGTGCTTTGCGCCTACAAAATTGTCACGGAGCAAAGGCAGTTTTTACTGTTTTTAAAAAATCAGAAAAATGCAAAGCACAAAATACTTCAAGCATAGCTTCCATTCACAAAATGCACAAACGACCCCCTGAGTCATTTGCTGGGCACCCTTCTCATGTATGTACCCAGAACACTCTGTACTCCTGGCAGGTCAGACCAGGGATACAGCCCGTCTCACTTCTCAGGGGAACTCTGTTTAGATAGCCTCTCCGCAGCCAGACCTTGCGGGCGTCTGGAACAAAAGGGGCCGTGTCTTACTCTTCTCCAGCTCCCAGACAAGAGCACAATGCCTGGCACACACCGGGTTCTCCATAAACGCACGTTGCATGAATAACTAGAGAAAAGTTGGCAGTGTCTATGGATATCATGGGCATCCGTGGAGTGGAGGGACTACCAGTTAAAATGACAAGGCATCTGGGGGTTAGCTAGCCTGAGCCACAGCTGAGATCCTGAGTGGGAAACCCTGGATCATGGGGAGGCCCTCAAAAAGACCTTAGGACTAGAATCTGGCCCAACACGCTTTTGGGGCAGACAGATCTGGCTTTAAGTCCCGCCTCTGCCACTATTAGCACAGCGACACTGGGCAAATTACGGAACCCCAGTCTCATCGGTAAAATGCAGTCACCCAACAAAGTGAAGCAGAGCGGGCAAAGTGGAGAAGAGGTAGGAGAGGTGGCCAAGGGGCAGAAAAAGCTACTGTAACACACACAGCTGTGTTTATGGTCCCCTGCCCTGCCATGGACTACATTTCCTAGGATCCTGTGCACCTAGGTGGGGCCATGTGACTGCACTGGGGCCAATGGAATGTAGGCATAAGTAACTGAGGCTGTACCAGGCAGTCCAGTTTCCACACCCTGGTCAACTCTCCCTCCACTGCAATCCTGCCCTTCAACACATAGCACAGAACCGATCCACAGCGTTTCAGTGCCACTTACAAAGCACTTATGCCCTAACTCCTCTCAGCTCCCCGGAGGACACAAAGCCTGGCCTGCCCTCCCTACCCACCCCACTCTTGTCATCCTTCAGGCCTCAGGTTAGATGACACCTCCACCAGGAAGCCTCCCCTGAATGCCAGGAGGTAGGCACTATTAGCTTCATCCTACAGACAAGAAAACTGAAGTTAAGTAACTTGCCCCAAATCATGTGGCTAGAAAGTGGGGGAATTGGGTGTGAAGCCAATGTAGGCGGAATCCAATTAGCCATCACTTGCTAAACCGGTCATGGGACCACTATCAGCAGGGGCCTCACCTGCAAGCTTGTTAGATGTGCAAATTCACCGGCCTTACTCTGAATTAAACTCTGGAGGTGGACCCAGCAATCTGTGTTTAAAAAGGCTCATCAGGTGGTTCTCATTTGCCACGAAGTTAAAGAACCAATGGTCTAGACATTCTCTGCAGCTGAGCCCCCTGTGGAGTCCTAGGTCTAGAAAATGTCACAGCTGAAGAACTGAACACTGTCCACCTTCTGACTTTTCTAGCCATTTGAAATGCTTCTCTGGGTATCCCCAGCCCTGGGACTTTGGGGACCCAGAGACTGTCATCTCCTTTTATTATTCGCGTTAGTGACTCACTGCTTCCTTTGTTTGAAGGCTTCTTGTTTGTGCCCATCAGCCTTGGGTACAAAGGTTTAATCCAGCAATGTTTAAAAATTCAGTCACAGGACACCTGGGTAGCTCAGGCGGTTAAGCATCTGCCTTCGGCTCAGGTCATGAACCCAGGGTCCTGGGATCCAGCTCTGCAGGGTTCCCTGCTCAGTCGGGAGCCTGCTTCTCCCTCTCCCTCTCTGTCCCCTGGCTTGTGCTCTCTCTATCCCAAATAAATAAATAAAATCTTAAAAAAAAAAAAAAATCCAAGTCATTTTCATCCCATGATGGGCACCATAATCACCTTTTAGAACATTCTGAGTTTCTCAGTTTACTAAGGCAATAGTCTGCAGCTTCTTGGTCAGCGGAACTGACTTCTCCAACACAAAAACTTGTATTTTTTAATCTGGCCAGATAGCTGGTATTACTTTGGATATAGTCCTGAGCATCAACTTCTGCTTCAGCTTTAAGAAGAACTGGACCAGAAAGAGTGCCCTCCTAGAGAAGGAGCTTGAACAAAACCAGATTTCTGCTGCTGACCCTCAGCTTTCTTCCACACTGTTCTCAGTGTCCCGGCAACTGGCCACCAACCCTGCCAAGAACGGTAAGGGAGCCTGGGAAATTCACCCAGGCAATACCCCAGGAAGAGGAGAACGGGAGTATTGGTGACTAATTGCCATCTCTGTCACATAATACATTTAAAACAATTTAAAATAAAATCAGGGCTATATCCTTCATCAGTCAAAAAGCAGTGTTCTGTCACCAAAAGCACAAAAGAGAAACTGCAAATCACAGAATGTACACAATTAATCCTATGTCATCTGAGATCATTTCAAGTGACCTTCAGGCCCCCACTTCCTGCCTCCCCCAACCCCTGCAGATGATGAGAACTTGGGACCCCTGTGATGTAGTCTGGGAATGCAGGTGAAGTTCGGGGGGTGAGGTCTGGAGCCCATGACCAAGAAAGAATTCTTGAGACTTCTTTGGTGCAAAATGGTGGCTTATAGAAAGCATGGGGACAGGACCAGGGGGCAAGGAAGAGCTGCTGCCCCGGGGTTGTGAGGGGGTCACTGTTTACATACTATGAAGTTGGGGGAGGTGAGGAAAAGGGGAGGTTTCCCAAAGAACTTCCATATGCGAAAGAAGACTCACAGGATATCCAAGGCCTTGCCATTGTTAAGGTTGTTTTTCCCTTTAGCAAGGCATTAACATGAAGATAGTTGGGAGGTTCCTGGAAGAATGTCACGTGTCCCACCCAGAAGTGGGGTGGGGGTTGCAGGGTGTCAACTTCTACTTTGCCTTTAGCCAGCCTCCTGCTCCCTCATCACTTGCACACTCCCCTCTTTGAGACGAGAACTCAAAGAAGGGGGATGGTAATCCCAACTCTGTTACTCCTGAATTCACATCATCCAGAAGCTTTATCGTATTTGTTAAGCTAATACACGAACAAACATGAATGTGTGCACACGCTATCTCAGAACCCTACCTCCTTCCACTGGCATCCTTCCAGATCAGCTCAAACTTCACTTACTCCAGGAAGCCTCCCCAGGCGCCTCCCCCCTCCACACACACATACACAGCCGGCAACGCCAGCTCCCATTTTCTTGCTCTCCAAGGCCACACCTGGTGCACCTTCCATGTTAGTCATCTGTTAGACAACCCTGGCCTCGGTTTCCTCCTCTGTAAAATCACTCAGCTTCCGGGCTGAAATTATGGCCCCAAGGCAGGCAGCACCCAGGGCCAAGGACCCAGAAGTCAGGCTCCCAGAGCGTCCCCACAGCAGACGTAGGCCCATCTGTCATACTAGGGACGCAGCTGGGTTGGCTCCCCGCAATCCTCCACCCGGGCACAGACAGATCTAGGCCGGGACTTACCCGGGAGGCCTCCACCTCCGCGCCGCCACTCGCCTATCAATGCCCGGCCCTTGGCGCACATGTCAACGGAGCCTGCCAACACCCAAACTCCCTCCCGCAGCCGGCAATGCAACAAGGGCGCGTCTACACTGTCCTCGAGGTTCCAGGAATTCAGGCCTCTTGTTCAGGGGCCAGGGGAGGGGATGTGGCTAGGGGCCCTGCAGAGACAGGAAAGCGGCGCTGCCCGCACGCTGTGCGGGTTCCGAGGCGCCCCGGGCGGAGGGCCCCAAACCGCCCCTCCCTGCCGACTGTGTGCCAAGTGCTTTCCCAAAGACACCTCCGTTAATCTGCATGGCTCCCCCCGCTTCTTTTACAGAAGCAACCACTGAGCCCCAAAGAGTTGAAACCTGAGAAGCAGCGCCCCCCATACACACACACTCTTTCTGCGCCGCCTCCGACCCCACTTCCAAGCCCCGACCCAACTCTCTCGAGGCGCCGGCGCACCGGGGCGTCCCAGGCCTGCAGCGCCGGATCCCGGTCCCCACCCGCCTGGCTACTCGCCGCCGGCACTTACCTCCCTCGGGCGGACAGGCCCTGCAGCCTCTGCCCACGGCCGCGAAGATCCAGAGGAGTTGGCAGAGGCTCGCGGCCCGGTGCTCCAGGGTGCAGGGCGGGCGGACCCCCCGAGAGTGCCGGGGAGCAGCGAGCGGGGCGCAACGGATGGCGCTCTGGGGAGGCAAGCCGGGGCCGCGCAGGGCGGTCGGGTAGAACTCCGGGCGCGGGGGCCGCCGGCACGACCCCGGGGCGCGAAGGGCCGCGTGCCTAGGGCGGAGGCGCAGGCGACAGTCAGGGGAGCTGGAGCAGCACCACGGCGGGGCGTCCGGCGTCGGATCCCGGCTGGAGGGCGGCTAGGGCTGGGGCACCAGCCTTCGGGCAGGGGCGGGGCTCTGGTCCGGCCGCTCACGTGGCCGCCCCCCGGTGGCCGCCCGCGCTCCTGCAGCCGCGGGGAGGGTCTCTATGCTGCAGTGCAAAAGCGCTCTGAGTCCGCGCTTCGCCGCCTGCTGAGTACGCGGCGTCCCCACCTAATGCGAGGGGCGGGCTTGGCACCCACCCGCGAAGGGGGCGCCCTCCCGGCGGGTAATCCGCGAAGTCCTTTCCAAAATCAGAAGAAACCCATCTCATTAAGTCTCCATGGGTCATCGTAAATATTTTTTTTATCGGAAATTGTTTTTTTTTCTTCTTCTAAGTTCTGCTTGGCAAAAACTTAGGCACTTGTAACAACTGCAATTATTTGTGTAATAATTTACAATCCCCTCCAGACGTTCCTTACCGTTCTAGCACATTGCCTTATTCCTAACTCCCTGCATGGGGCTTGGCACGTGCTAAATGCTTAAGAATTATCCGTCCAGTGGATGGATGAATACGGAAAGGTATAAAGGAGAAAAGGATACAAAACTAATGAAAACTACTGTGAACATGTTGATACTATATCCTTCCAGATACTTTTCTACTAAAATTTTAGAAATTTCACAACTCTTACTTAACTATAAAAATAAGTGGCATTTATTGAGTGATTTATCTCATTCTATCTTCACACCAACCCTGTGAAGTAGGTTGCATTTTATTTCTATTTCACAGATCATAAAACTGAGGGTCTTAGAGGTAGATTTGCCCAAAAGATTTACTTTCTTTCTTTTTTAATTTTTTTAAGTGTAAGTAATCTCTACACCCAACATGGGGCTTGGACTCAAGGCCCCGAGTCAAGAGTTGCAGGCTCCTTCAACTGAGCCAGCCAGGTGTCCCTGCCCAAAAGGTTTCTGCGGTGGCTCCTCTTGGCAAAGGGTATCTACATTTTAGGAGCTGGAGGGCACACTGAGTCTTTGCCCAGGTGAAGGCCAGCAAACAGAGTCCCCTGGGAGAGCAAAGAAAGGTGCTACGGCCTCTGTGGGGAGCAGGTTCAAGTTTATGCAGCTTGGGGAGGGGGATGACATATAGGTGACCTCTCATGGGGGGGGATGGAAAAAATGAAATGGTCTTGAAACACATCACTCAGTGTTTTATTCTTTGGCCTCTGTGCTACAAGTTTTGGAAAATACAAAAGCTAACAGATGTTTTGGTTTGAAGTGTTGGCTCCTTTAGTCATCTTGGGAAAACTCCTCTGGCTTTTGGCAAGACAAAACTGCACCTGAAATTCTGACTGTGGGAAAGCTGGGCAGGAACAGACTCTGAGTTGATCTGTCCAAGTTCAAACCCAGACCAAAAAACAAACAAACAAACAAAACACACACAAACACACAACACTGTATTACTAAACCACTGATAGCTCTGTGGCCTTGGGCAAGTTATTTACCTCCTCTGAACCTCTGTAATTTTTGTCCCCCTTCTTTGCATGAGGATCTTGATTAGCCTTTAGGAAACCAGCCCACTTCATTCTTAGTGGGGGAGCAAAGCCCTCACCACGGACCTGGGGCCAAGAGTAGACACAGGACAAGACTTGGTCAATCAGCATATACCATCCCTTTAGCCCAATGAGATCCTAATCTGGATCTTTTCTAGCAAGCATAAAAAAAGAGAATCCCTCTTTTTCAGAGAGTTGTTGAGCTGGTAGGATTTAAGCCTAGGGTTTCTGAACATTCATTCTTTTTTCTCTTTTTTTAAAATATTTTATTTATTTATTTGACAGGAAGATCACTAGTAGGCAGAGAGGCAGGCAGAGAGAGAGGGGAGAAGCAGGCTCCCCGCTGAGCAGAGAGCCGGATGCGGGGCTCGATCCCAGAACCCTGAGATCATGACCCAAGCCAAAGGCAGAGGCTTAACCCACTGAGCCACCCAGGCACCCCTGAACATTCATTCTTACGGCAAATATTTATTAAGCTCTTACTGTGTGCCAAATATTGTGCTATGCAGCTCTAATGGGGTAAGAAATGGAAGAACAGAAATTTCTCACATAGTCATGATGCCACGACTTAAACCGCAGGCCATGCCATGAGTGAGAAGCATAGCAGGCAATGAGAGATGACATGGGCAAACCTGCTCAGGAAGCCTCTTCTGAAGAAATGACATCTGAGTGGAGCCCGGAAGGAAAAGTAGGCGTCACTTCTGGGAGCTTTAGGAAGACAGGTGCCCTGGGTGGCCTCAGCAAGGAGATGTGGATCAGATCATTCTCGGATTTTTCCTGGTCCTTAATCTCCTATACCATCACACAGAGGTATTCGGACTTTATAGTAAAGAATTTGGGTAACCAAAAAAGGGTAGGAAGGAAAACATTACCCCATACCGGTGATGTCACAGCACGTAAGAGGAAAAATAAACCATTCACAGGGATCGGTCATCGGCACACTCCAGCTCCAAGCCTTGCTCCCCTGTCCTAAAACCTGCCCTTCAGTCTCTCACACGCACAAACATCTCTTCAAGCTTCCCCCTCTCCCTCCTCCTGAGCCTATGGCTCAGGTCATGATCTCAGGGTCATGGGATCGAGCCCTGCACTGGGCTCCGTGTTCAGTATGGAATCTGCTTATCCCTCTCCCTCCACCTTCCTCTCTGCCTACTTGTGATCTCTCTCTCTCTGTCAAATAAGGAAATAAGTGGGGATATGGACATTGGGGAGGGTATGTGCTATGATGAGTGCTGTGAAATGTGTAAACCTGGCAATTCACAGACCTGTACCCCTAGGGATAAAAATACATTATATGTTTATTAAAAAATAAATTAATTAATTTTTAAAAATAAAGAAATAAAATATAAAAAAAAAGTCACACGCTCTACTGACTGAGCCAACCAGGAGCCCCTACATTACCAATTTCCACAGACAAAAAGCACCTTCCTTTACTAAAGCTTTGACAAGAGTTTAACTGGGTGGAGAGATTAAAAGTGATTTTGTTTTCTTATTTGTGCTTCTCCTTCTTTGCTCGAGTTTCAACAAAGAACACATATTACTTTTGCAAAAGTTCTTTTTAAATGTCACGTCAAAACCCGAGCTCTTACAAAATGAAACAGGCCAGTTGTTTTGGTTTCTGGGGCCTCCCCACCTTGCCTGGCTGGGGCTGGCTTTGCACAGAAGCTTCCCTTTCCCAAACAGCACCCTTGAAGACGTCAGTCACCAGAGAAGCTGGGTCAACATGTCCATTGGGGGCCAGACAGGCCTGGAGAGAAATGCTTGGTGGAGCAGATGAGCTCATGGCGTTCCTTCCACTGGATTTTTGGCATGAGGGTTTTGGGCAGCTCTGCAAGCAGCTCTCCTTCTCCCAGAAGACCTGCTCTTTGCCTGAGCAGGCCAAGTAGGTATAGGATTAATGTTCACCTGAATTCAGTTATCAGAGAGAGAGAGAGTTGGGGTGGGGGAAGGTTGCTCCCAGCACTTGGTCCAACTATAGGAGAATGCTGAGTCATTAGGGGGGATTCTTAAATAAGGCTCTACTTCCTGCTTGTGGCTCCTTTTGGATCCTCCAAAAGAACAGACCCCAGTTTGGCCACCTCCAGACAAAAATTCTGTGAGATCTTGGGTTGGGCAGCTCCAGCCAGAAGCGTTTATCTCTGAGTTTGTCTGGGGCCACATAGCAACTTGGAGTGGCCTTAACCAAGCACGCAAAACCACTGGTACAAGGAGGGGTCTTGTGGCCAATACTGTTCTAGGTCCTGGGGTTATAGCTTCTGGTGAACAAGACAATATCTGGAGATGACATTCTAGCAGACATCCTGGTCTGGTCCTGGGAGAGACTCAAACACTTTCTTAAGGCAGGGATAGGGAGATGCACGTGGATAATACCACCAAGTGGTCAGGAGCACCCATACAAGAACTCTGGTGGTGAGCACAGTGAGGTACTGGGAGGAGAGCCTAGGTCCCTGGGAGTCACCACCACCACATTCACATTACGTACATTTACAAACATAACACAGGGCTTCCTGAGTGGCTCAGTGGGTTAAACATCCACCTTTTGCTCAGGTCATGATCCCAGTCCCACATTCCTGCTCAGTGGGGGTCCTGCTTCTCCCTCTCCCTTTGCTCCTCATCATCTCTTTCTCTGTCAAATAAATACCAGAAGTCTTTAAGTGCCTGATATACATTACCACGTTCAATCTTCTTCTGCTTCATTCTGGTGTAGCCAAGTGCCCAGAAGAGTGCCTGACCCCCTGCAGGTGCTCAAGGTATATCTGCGAATGAATGAGTTTGAGTCTCACAGAAATCCTGGGTATTACTATCTCCCCATTACAGGGATGAATAACAGGTCTGGGGAGAAGTAGTTTTTCCTAAGGTCACACTGCTAGTCAAGGCTCAGACTGTGTGATTGACAAGCCCATGGGCTGGTTTATCCACCGTATTGGATTCCAATGACTGCTCTCACAATTTTCCACAAATTTAGTGGATTAAAACAACACTCTGGAAGTCAGCTCTGGAAGTCAGAAGTCACATGTGTTCCTTTTTGTAAGCTCTAGGGGAAAAGGTATGTCCTTACCTTTTATAACTTCTAGGGCATTCCCTGGCTTGTGGCAGTATCACTGGGACCTCTCTTTCTGTCTTCAAATCTCTGATTCCTGCGTCTCTTTTCTAAGGACGCTTTTGATTACACTGGGTCCACCTGGATAATCCAGAATAATTTTCCCATCTGAAAATCCTTTATTACACTAACAAAGTCCCTTTTGTCACATAAAGTAACATACAGGTTCTGGGGATTTGGATGTGGACATGGTTGGGGGCGGCGGCATTTCAGCTTACCACATCCACCTGTGTATCTCTACTGTACTATATTTTTGTTATCTTCCTTAAACGTTTAGCAAGGAAACGGATACATCTAAGAGTACGTAAAATTAGAAAAAAGTGAATTAGAAGGATCTGAGACTCCTGAAGGAAGAGGAAAGGGAATTGAACTTGAATCAAGTCTCAAAAGAGACTTGAATCTTATCTATATATAGTATTCAGTGTATTTTTAATCAAAGAATCTTTGAAGCAAATATACAAAATGTTAATCAGTTTTGGGTGATGGGAGATAGAAATACGCTATGTACTTATGTATTGTATATTCGATCTGTATTTATTGCATTAAAAGCAGAAAACACTGAAACAGCCTGCACAGAAGAAGGGGAATCTTGGGTCTTGGAAGGGTCTTGGGTCTCGGGAGGGTTTTGGGAGGGAAATCGTGGGGCCTGGAGCAGCTGAGACAAGTCATTTAGCCTCTCTGCACTTCAGTTTCTTCCTCCCTAATATCCAGACAAGAGATACCTTTGAAGAAGCCCAACAGGCTAATTAATCCGCAAAAACATTCGTTGACGTTGTTAACAACATTCACCTGCACCGGTGATTCTTACCTCGCGGTGGCAAGGACCAAACCATGGGGGCACCCAGGGCTTGCAGAGCTGAACTGGAGTAGGGATGGCGAGTCCACAGGCTGGGGACCTAGCCGGGTTCTGTGCAGAGCAAGGTTCCCCGCGCGACCCCAGCCCCGAAAGGCAGGAAGCGACAGCGCGGCACCGCCCCCACGTGGCCGTAGACAGTATACGACGCGGCAAATCCAAGGCACACACACGTGGGGACTGCATATTAATGTTTAACATTTGGGAACTCTTCTTTCCTTTTTAGTGCTGCGTTCCGACCGTAGTCTTTGCTGCCGACCAAGAAAGTACTGTGGTTCCAAGGCACAGAAATGAGGCAGGGATCAAAACTCCTTTAATACGCGCAGGAAACGCTAAGCTGTTATTGGGCATGCGCAAATCCAAGGGGGCGGGGCCTCGGGGCGTGAGTCGGCACGTCACTAAACTAATATAGTTTCAACGGAAGCAACCGTAACGGGCGGTAGCGTGGCCGAGTGGTCTAAGGCGCTGGATTTAGGCTCCAGTCATTTCGATGGCGTGGGTTCGAATCCCACCGCTGCCACACCCGTGATGGTCTCACTTTTCTTTGCCTAAACTATTCAGTTTGTCATCCTTTCCCAATGCAAGCTCATTTTTGCTCTAAAAAAAAAAAAAAGGAATGGAGAGCAAACGCAGGCCGGGCCCTCACCTGCCCTAGCCAGTGCACAAACCCAGCAATCCCGCTACCTAAAAAACAAAACCAGAACTGTCTCATTTCCAAGGGAAAATCATCTGAGATAATTTTAATAGTTTCCAGCAGACTGCCTACAACTCCAGGGCCCGGGAGGCTACAGGGAGCAGACCTCATCTCATTATCCCTCAAGGACAAAGGTTAGGTGGGGGTGATTTTAATTATGACTTGAGTTAGGTCATAATTGGGAGGTTCCTTTCCAGCCCCCTCTGTGTCCTACGGGGAGCTCCAGCTGACCCCACAAACTTCTGTTGGTAGAACTGATGTCAAGCGACCCTATGGAAAGGTTGCGGCATCGGAGGGCCTGCCCCATGTGGGGCTATCAACCTCAGAGTCTCAGCTTCATTGATGCATCTCATCGTGGGTCTTCAGGCTTGGCTCAGAGGCCTCTCATCTATTTATTTATTCAATAATTATGTATGAAAGGTCTCCTGTGTGCCCGAAACCAAGATCATCCTGAGGCTACAGATCACACGAGGCAGGCAAGTCTGCTCAACTCGGTTTTACAACTGCAGTAAATTCAGATTACGCCTGTGAGGAGTGTTCTAAAGTGCGTGCTAACCTGTCTCAGGGTCGACCGAGGAGGTAACATTTAGCTGGGACTTGAAATGGAGAGGTCCGGTATGTGAAGGTGGGAGAGGGGAGTCCCAGGAAGAGGAAACAGCAGGTGGCAGATCCCAGCTGCAGATGAGAGCCGGGCGAGTTTGAGATGCTTTGAAGATAATTCAGGGCAGCTGAGCAGAGAGCAGCGCAGATGGGCCAACGGCAAGAGATGAGGTTGACCCGTTAGGCATGAAGGCCCCATTGAGGCTTTGAACTTCATCCTGAGGGCAATGGGAAACCATCAAAAGGTTTTAAATGGGAGGGTGGCATGTTCCAATTTGGGGTTCATAAAGTTCCCTCTGGAAGCAGGAACAGGAGGGTCCATTCAAAGTCTACTGCAGGTGTCTTGGAGAAAGGAGAGTGACTTGAACCATGCTTGTGACCGTGGGTAGGACCAAAAGGGTGGGTCGGACAGATATTTGGAAGTGATCTGACAGAACTCCCTGATGAGGATGTGAAGAACATGTCAAAAGTAATGACCAGGTTCAGGACTTGAGCCCTGGCTGGTGGCACTGGTAGTGCCTTTCCTGTCCCTAGGAGGGAACACAGGATGAAGAGGAGTTTGTGGAGAAGACGATTTCAATTTGATTCACACTGAGTTTGAGATGTGGGACATGGGCTTGAGTAGGAGGTTGGACACAGAAGTCTGGAGGTCAAGAGAACGTTCTGGACAAATGATACAGATTTGGGAGGTGGTGGAGACTGAGGCCATGGGAATGGATGGACTTGCTCAGGAAGAGTGCACAGGGGGAATGGAGGGGCCAAGACAGAGTCCCGAGGAATGACATCTTAAAGGGAGGGCAGTGGGAGAGAGGGGACTGAGGAAGGCCAGCCAGAGACAGGTGGAAAACAAGTGTGGTGTCCATATAGACCAAGAAGAGTATTGCAAAGAGGGGGTAGAGGGAGTATGTTGAACACTGCTAAGAGGCTTGGCAAGATAAAGACTGAAAAATATGCATTGGACTTAACAATTTACAGACAAGGTCAATGATGACCCTGATTAAAGTCATTTTGAGGGATGTCTGGGTGGCTCAGTCAGTAAGGGTCTGACTCTCTGGTTTTGGCTCAGGTCATGATTTTAGGATTGTTGGTTCATCTCCCATGTCAGGCTCCTGCTCAGTGCAGAGACTGCTGGTCCCTCTCCTGCTCCCTCCTCTCCAACCCCCCCCACCCTGGTCTCGATCTCTTTCAAATAAGTAAATAAGCAAAATCTTTTTTAAAAAGCTATTTTGAAGAGACAACTCATCACAAAGGAGCAGTACTGAGACAGGAAACAGGGAATCAAGGGAGAATATTTTTAAGATGAAAGAGACTATGAGGATATTTTTAAAATTTATTTTTTAGTAATCTCTACACTCAACATGGGGCTTAAACCCACAGCCCTGAGATCAAGGGTTGCACACTCCTTCTGCTGAGCCAGCCAGGCACCCTGAGATTGGAGGATATTTTAGACACCCAGCCTTGGGTTTACAAAGGAAATCGCTTCAGCACCCACAGTGGGACACTTATGAATTCACCTTGATGATCCATTCAGATTGGATCTGTTTTCTGCATTCATGTTGCTTCTACTCAGTATTTCCAAGTAAACCAGGACCTCCTTCTCTCAGAACCTGAGGTACAGAGGGCTGAGTTACCTGGACAGCCTCTAAAATCCTCATGGGGACTCAGCTGTCCATTGGGTGGAGGGACCGCCTCCTTTTCCACTGGGTCAAGACACACGAAAGGAGCGAAGCTTTCTTAGCAGAGTGACCCACAACTGCTCCCAGGCCCCGAGCACAGATATCCTTAGATATCCCAAGCCTCTGGAGCCTGGGAAAGAAAGGACTTAGAGAAAGCCAGAAAACAAAGAAATTGATCTTTTGTTTTCCGGTAGCTGTGTTTTGGCAGAAGACAAAAGATGTAGAAGATTATGTGAACAGTGAAAGCCTGTGCTCCCAGCCCTGAGAACAGATTTCTCGGGATTGATAGAGAGGAAGGTCAGAAAGAAGGTGGTGAGTTTAGAGGCATGGGCATTACTGAGAAGAAAGGGAGCCCAAGGGCTGCTGGCCCCAACGGTAGATGCCAGAGCTCGAAGGAAGCCCTGACATGGTTGGGGGGGGCAGAAGAACACACATCACTCTGTGTGGTGTTTAGTGAGCCTTGGGCAGCTCCCCCATAGGACTCCAGCTGCAGAGGAGGAACCCCCACCTCGTTCACGTCAAAGTTAGATATAACCCCAAGTTCCTCATCTACACAATGGGAACAATAAACCCAACTGTAAGGGTGGCCAGAAGAACTAAATAAAAGCAGATAGATGGCCCTTTCAAACTCTCAAGCATTAAACGGACATAAAAGGATTATTACTGAGCTTTAAAAAAAACCGTAGGCATGTGTTCGGTTCAGTCGAGCAAAGAGGAGCAAATGGTTCTTAGCGGCTTCCCAAACTTTAACTGTTCTGCAGAGAGGGATACACTGGGGATGGCCACGTTGGCTCGCACACATTCACTCCCCTCCACCACAGGTGTTCTTAGGCTTGTGATGGTTTTCTTCTCTGCCGTAATGTGCAGGTGCCCATTATGATACATACATAGATATATTTATACACTGATATCCTGGTACTCATAATTAATATGAAGGCAATGGGGAGGGGGTGTTTCTGTGGAGAGCAAGGCTTGATGAAATTTTGTGGGCTAAAACATTAAGCAAAGATTATGGTGATCACCACTGCCCCCTTATTAATAGAAGAATATGAAATATGAATATGTAATATGAAATATGTAATATGAAATTACAAAATAGGACAAAAATAAGTTCTAACTCTTCCCATTATAATTATATTGGTACTTTTCCAAAAGGTCCAGTCCTTTAAAAAGCTATTTGAGATATAATTTACACATATTAATTTCAGATGTACAACATAATTTGTGAAATGACCAAGTCTGGTTAACACCCATCAAGACATACAGTTACAATTTTTTCTTGTAAAGAGAATTTTTAAGATCTATTCTCTTAGCGACTTTCACATGTATAATAGAGTATTATTAACCATACTCACCATTACATCACCGCGACTTATTTATTTTGTAACTGGAAGTTTATACCTTTTGACCACCTTAAAAAGTTTTGTTTTGGTTTAGATCCTTGCTGGTACAGAAGCCTGTGCTTAATAAGCTAAGTCAGCCCCAGGCTAGTAAACCGGAAATCCAAAAAGGCTACGGGCAGCCAGGCAGAAGTCTAGGTCTCAGGGGTCCCTCCAACCCTGACTACCAACACAGAGGGAGATAATGCATGACTGAGTGAACCCAAAACATTAAGGTAGCAACAGATCAAAAGCAACTCTCCTGGAATGAGTCTCTTCAAGACGATCTCAGGACAAGCACAGAGGAGCCTGAACGGCAAGGAGGGTCCGGTGTCCCTAGACAGGCAGCATTAGACTGGGAAATCTGCAAATGCTAGCCAGGCCTGTACTTGCCTGCTGGAGACGACTCTGGCCAGGCCCCAGGAACTAACCTTAGGAGGCGTGGCCGGAGAGGGGCGGGGGAGTCGGAGAGGAGGAGGGCAGGGCTATTGCCGAATGACAATTAGGAGAGTGGAGGGACAAGATCCAGAGGGAGGGGCAGGGCCAGTCCGAAAGAGAAACGAAGGGGAGGGCGCAATCATACCGGTAGGGCCAGAAAGAGGGCAAAACCAGAACAGAGAAGAATTCGAGGCAGAGAAGGGTGGGTGAAGGCCCGGAAAACGGATGAAGCTGTGCGGCTGCCTGCTCAGTAACCCGGCCAGGCCCAGACTCAGAAGGCGGGGCCAGGGCCCAAGAGGCGGAGCAGAGGCGTGTCCAAGCACGGAGGGGAGGACAGGGCGGAGTCAAGACCCGAGGCGGGTCCAAGCCTAAAGGGCGGGGGATGTAGGCGGGGAAATGGGCGGAGAAAACCCGGAGGCGGGGCCGGGGCGGGTCCAAGCCCCGAGGATGGAGCGTAGGCAGTAGCGGACTCCGGCCAAGTGACGAAGATCAGACGAAGGACCGCGGAAGGCCTAGCAGGTGCAGGGCCAGGGCGAGCAGCCCGAGCAGCAGCGGCAGCCCGAGCAGCAGCCGTAGGAGCGTCGGCGCCGTACAGCCGCAGGGCCGCTGGCTCGTGGACCGCACATACTGTTCCACGACGTCCGTGAAGCGGAATTTGTCTGGCGCGTAGCCAAGCTGGGCGCGGGCCTTGGCGATCTGGAAGGTGTGCGTCACGGCCACGCTGTGCACCTGCGGGGAGAGGGCAGCCGAGGGGCGAGGCTATGCGGGTGGGACGCACACTCCACCTTGTTTTACCGAAAAGGAAGAGAGGGCAAAGGTTTCCCTTTGGTCGCACAGCAGTTTCAAGGAACCCGTGGGGTGGATCTTACTCCTGCGATGCAGGGGAAGGTTTCCTTTGTCCCTCCCATCTGCATTATCTTCGAGGGCGCCGCCTCCAGGAGGCCTTTTCTGCAATTCCCCCAGCCTAACTGAACTTCTCAGTCCCCCAAAAGGGAAGGCCCCACTCCCGCAGTTTCCCTTGCCCAGCCTAGCAAGGCGCTGGGACTCAGCAGGCACTTGCACATTCTTGGGTATGCTCTAGGAGAAGATGACCGCCCTCTGTGGCCTGGGTGCTGCTCTCCGGAAAAACCACCCCAGGAAACGCTCTACACAGTCCTAGGGCGCAACCTTCTTGCTCCATCCCTGGTTAAGCTTCCCTAAAAGAGGAATTCAATTATACATAAACGATTACTCTCCAGGGTCTGGGCTGCCGTTTCTTCCCCCCTGCTGGGGTCCAGGCTTCAAGGGCGGTACTGATAGCTATCTGTAACTGAATAGGCACTGTGCTTGGCCTTATCTTATTTAATCCCCTGAGGTGGCACTACCACCATTTCCTCTTTACATTTTTTTTCTTTACATATTTAAAAATTAAAAACAGAGAGGTTAATTGACTTGCCCAGATTCATACAGATAACTCAGATTTCAGCCCATGCATGCTCTTCCCTGCTATGCTTGGACTGGGAGGATGCCCTCCCACCTCATTTCTTCCTCTCTTGTTCCTCAGCTGGACCCTGGGAAGGGGTCGGAGAGAGCTGCTCAATTCTCCCATGGCACAGAAACAGCCCCTGGCCAAGTTGCTATTCTTGGACGCTTGCAGGGGAGAGGGCAATCTTGTCCCTTTTTGCCCCAAGTAGTAAGTTCAGGACCTTGGGAGATACCGCTGGGGGCTAGATCGGCAGGGTCCTGGACACAATGACCTCAGGCTTAGATGTCACCTTCCTTTGGGAAGTCTTAACTTACTCAGAACTGGCTGAGGTGCCCCTTCTGTGTGCTCTGAAGTTCCTCACGGTTTCCTCCAATACAGCCCTTATCGCAGTTTCCCGATTGACAAGCTGTCTTCCCCTTTGGGCTGTGAGTTCCTTGAGGTAAGCGCTATGTTCTGCCTTCGCTACTCAGCACAATGCCTGGCACACAGTGGGCGCTCAAAAAATGTTCAACGAATCAGACTCTGCAACTGGAGGGCTGGTTAGTATACCACAGATTGACCAGCAGAGGGCGCCAGAGCCACAGTGCCCAGAAACAACCTTCGCTAAAGAGGGATCCCTTACCCCTTGGTTGAACAGGGAAACCTGTAAGTGAAACCAGAGGGAGGGGAGCTAAGTCCCACCCAACCATAATTCAGCAGCAGTTCGGCAGCTAATCCACGTGATTTTGATTCCTGAGTCATTTCACAAGCTTGAAAGCATTTAGGTTTGGTCTGGGTTCAAATGTCAGCTGTGCTACTTAAGCAAATACTCATGGGCAGGTCAGCCCTGTGTGTCTCATTTCCTCTGGAAATGGAGATGACAATCTACAATGCGGTAGTGAAAATAAAATGAGATAAGGCACAATGCCTGGCGTACCCATCACTCAATAGATGGCTGCTACTGTCACTCTGTTTTCCTCTGCTAGTCTGGATGGCCCAAAGGAGAAACCACAGGGAAGTCAGACAGCTCTGAGCTTGAGTATGAAGCCAATGCCAGAACCTTGTGATCCTGGAGAAGTCACTAACTTCTTCAGTGCTCAGTTTATCATAAAACACGATCATAATCTCTTACCTTTCCTAACTTAGCAGGACATCAGAGAGAATCAGATGAGAGCGTGAGCTCGGAGGATTTTGCAAGTAACACCAAACGCTATTTACAACGTACATTAAAACATCCTTTTTTAGGGGCGCCTGGGTGGCTCAGTCCGTTAAGGTTCCACTCTTGATTTCAGCTCAGGTCATGACCTCAGGTCATGGTCTCAGGGGTCATGATCCCAGGGTCATGAGGTCGAGCCCTGAGTAGGGCTCTGAACTCAGCATTGAGTCTGAGAGTCTCTCTCCCTTTTCCTCTGCCCCTCCCCCCACTTGCTCGTGCTTTCTCTAGAGAAATAAAATCTTAAAAAAAAAAAAAAATCCTCGGGGCGCCTGGGTGGCTCAGTGGGTTAAAGCCTCTGCCTTCGGCTCAGGTCATGATCCCAGGGTCCTGGGATCGAGCCCCGCATCGGGCTCTCTGCTCAGTAAGGAGCCTGCTTCCCCCTCTCTCTCTGCCAGCCTCTCTGCCTACTTGTGATCTCTGTCAAATAAATAAATAAAATCTTGGTTTCAATCACTTAATAAATAAATAAATAAAATAAAATTTTAAAAAATCCTCTTTTAGGGAAGCCTGGGTGGCTCATGTCAGTCAAGCATCTGCCTTTGTCTCAGGTCATGTTCCCAGGGCCTAGGATCAAGTCCCGCATATGGCTCCCTGCTCGGCGGGGAGTCTGCTTCTCCCTCGGACACTCCCCCTTCTTCTGCTCTCTCTCTCTCTCAAATAAATACATAAAATCTTAAAAAAAAAAAAAAAAAAAGAATGAGATGACAGGGATGAGGAACCAGAGCGCATCACATTTCAGACCCGGAGAGCACTCAGCCTAAGCAAAAGCGCAGAGGTTGGGATGATTCTAAAGAAGCTGGTGCTAGATTTGGGCCCACCTGGAAGGTTCTGACACCTCAGACAGCCATCCAGTTATGGCGTCAAAGGGGTGAGGGGTTGGGCCGGTGGGGGTGTGGACCAAGAGCTCCCCCAGCAGCGGCCCGCTTACCTCACTCCGGGTCAGCAGCGGCGGGACGCTACAGATGGGCCTCAGGGCCAGGTGCAAATACTCCATCACTGAAGCTGTGCAGGGAGAGAGGGGCCAGTGACCAGGGTGCCTCCCTCTCTGGAAGCTCCCAGAAGGCCCTCGGGGACAAAGCAGTTGGGGGCATTATTTGCTTTGCTCCGGGGAGTTGGGGGGAATCTCTTCACTTTGCCAAATTCTCCTGTCCTTGGATTCCTTTAAATCGGCAGCTCTCAGCACATGCTGGGGTGCCTTGTTTGGCTGTGAAATGTGTCACGAGTAAGTTGTCATTAATATTAAAGGACTGACATTCGAAAATAAATCAGAGCAGATTCAGTTAGCTCAAATCATGCCTCGTCCTTTCACTTCTTCTATTTCAGTGCGGTCTCTTGGGGAGGAGAGAGAGACGTTGGAGCAGTGGTTCTCAAGCATGTGAACCACCGGACCACTTAAAAAAAAATGCTCACCCTCGCCTTCCTCTTGGTGATGCTGATGTAGTTGGTCTTGAGTTGGGGCATTTTGATATTTTATAAGCTCCCCAGTGACTCGGATGTACAGCCAAAGCTACGAACTCGGGGGCGATAGCTCGCTGGGAAGTGGAAATGTATATACCATCCTGTAAAACTACCGGAACCCATGGCCAATCTCTTCCCACCTGGGGGTCAAAGAGCATCGATCACTGTGACAACGCTGGGCACGAAAAGTCACCTCGCATGCGGGGCCTGGCGGGCAAAAGTCAGCAGATCCCTGCCTTAAATGGCAAGCATCCCAGTGCATTTAAAATACAACTGATCTATTGATAAGGTCTTCCAGGAACGCAGTTGCTTGTGATTTGAGGGTCACTACCCCCTGGGGCTGACGACTCCGTGCCTGGCTCTACATTCCAGCTGGAAGGAGGCCAACAGAGGTGGTGATGGGGGGCGGGGGGCTTGGTGAGAGTAGAGGCTTACCTGAAGGGTGAGGAAAAAGCTCCCCATACCCCAAAGGCAGCCTTGACTTTGGGGTGACCTTGGGGGACAAGGTGGCCCCAGGAGACTGGTGTGATGCCTCCTGCCACAGGCCCCAGGGCCGGGTGTGGGCTCTGGAGTCAACCAAGCACAGGTATGAATTCTGGCTGTCCCGCTTTCTCACTGTGGCCCAATCATACCCACCCTGCAGGGAGGACAGGGTTTATACCCAGCCAGGACGAGGGGGAGGAGGCTGCTGGGCAAGGGCTGGTGGGGCTCGGTGCACCTGCCCCTGAGAGTGATGGTCTCCTGAGATCCTGGGTCCTCAGTGCCTCACTTCAGCTCTGCCTATTCCTGGCCCTGGGCCTGAAACGAGGCGGTGCCCATGCAACCGGCACACGGAGGAATTTTACTACACATACTCCTCTCCTTACCTGATAGGTAAACCCAGGAAGTAGGCACCTGGATCCAGGGCTTGCTGTACCCCAGCTTCTCAAACTGCAAGGAGACATGGCCTGAGATGACAACAGGTCTTCTGGGGGCCAGTTTGAAATGTCACATGTTCCTTTTACCCTGGGGCGAGTGGAAGTACCCTCTGATGTCCTGCCTGCTCACCCAAGAGGGAAAACACCCGCGGCCAGCACCAACCCTGTGCCAGTGTTGAAATGGAAAACTTTGATCTAGAAAAGTAAAGTAGGGCTCGAATGCATAGGTCGGTTGTTTTTGTTTTTCTCACCAAAGCACATACCCTCCCCAATGGCCATCCCCCGGCCACCCCATCCCTCCCACCCCCTCCACTCCAGCAAGCCTCAGTTTGTTTCCTGAGATTAAGAGTCTCTTATGGTTTGTCTTCCTCTCTGCTTTCGTCTTGTTTCATTTTCCCCTTCTTTCCCCTATGATTCTCTGTCTTGTTTCTCAAATTCCTCATATCGGTGAGATCATACGATAATTGTCTTTCTCTGATTGACTTATTTTGCTTAACATAATATCCTCTAAGTTCCATCCACATATTGCAAATGGCAAGATTTGGTTTTTGATGGCTGCTTAGTATTCCATTGTGTATATATAACACATCTTCTTTATCCATTCATCTGCTGAGGACATCTGGGCTCTTTCCATTGGCTATTGTGGACATCTTGGCTATTGTGGACATTGCTGCTATAAACATAGGGGTGCACGTGCCCCTTTGGACCACTACATTTGTAATTTTGGGTAAATATGCATAGGTCAGGGGCACCTGAGTGGTTCAGTCATTAAGCGGCTGCCTTCAGCTCAGGTCATGATCCCTGGGTCCTGGGCTTAAGCCCTGCATCGGGCTCCCTGCTCAGCAGGAAGCCTGCTTCTCCCTCTCCCACTCCCCCTGCTTGTGTTCCCACTCTTGCCGTGTCTCTGTCAAATAAATAAATAAAATCTTTTAAAAATATATGCATAGGTCGGTTTTTAATCTGGGATCATTCACATCATTTAGTGACTACTGATGTCTGCCTACAGCCAAAGGCACTTATCCAGGGCAGCCGCTTTGGAAAACAGTCTGACAGTTTCTCAAAGGGTTAAATAAAAGGAGAACGGTCCGGCAGCTCCTCAAAAGGTTCAACAGAGAGCTACCACCAGACCCAGCAATAACACTCTTGGGTGAACACCCAAGGGAAATGAATACGTACGTACACAAAATACGTATACATTAACGATCACAGCAGCATTAGTCATGGTAGCCCCAAAGTAGAAAAACCGTAATTTCTATCAACAGATGAAAGGATTAACAAGATGTGGTATATTCCTAGAAGGGAATGTTTTCTGGCAACAGAATAGAATGAATATTGATACAATGCAGGCTACACATGGACAGACTTGGAAAGCACAAGCCAAAGGAGAGAAGCCCAAGACATTGTATCACATGTTTTCATTTACAGGACATGTCCAAAGAGGCAAGTCGACAGAAACAGAGTAGGCTAGGGGCTGTGTGGGGCTAGAGGTGAGGGTTGGGGTAAAGGCATAATTTTGGGGGGGTTCTTTTTTGGAGGGTGAGGAACTGTTCTAAAATTATGGTGATGGTTGTACAACTCTGAATATATTAAAAACCATAAAATTATGTGCTTTAAATAAGTGAATCATACAGTATGTGAATAATATCTCAACAAAGCTATTGATCTTGTTGTGCCTGAATGCCTCGAGGACAGATCCTCCAGCCCGGGGTTGCTGGTCGACCCTTTCCAGGCAGTGCTGGCCCCAAGAAGGGGTCTGTAGGATACTGGACAAGGAGGCCAGGGTTCTCTGAGGGCCAGCACCTCCCTTTGTGCCTCAGTCTACCTTCTACTTAGCCCTTGTGGAGCTCCATCGGACAGTATGGGGGTCACACAAGCAAACGTGCACAGGGCAAGTCACCATAAATCAGGAATCAGGCCGGGAGGGACTATGGCAAACCAGGGGAGTACAGGGCCCCCTAAAGGGGCAGCCACACCCAGCTCAGGCCAGTTCCAGTGTTGCCCAGTGGACACTATCAGCCAGAGCTGGTTTTTAATGTGAAAGCTTCTGATTTTCGGGACAGAGGAAAGGAGGACAAGGAGAGAAGATGTGCAGAATCCTGACTTCTCACTCGGGGTGGGGGTGGGCGGATGTCTGGGCACCTACCAGGGGGGCCATCCACTCGAAGAGGTTGACGCTCTCCCCATCATTGATGTAATATGCCTGGCCACTCTGAGGGGACACACAGGGAGGGGAACATTCAGGCACCTGCCCCCCAGCCTGACGCCACCCTTCCAGATGGCTCAGCAGCTGCCCCGTCCCCCCAATTGCCCTGAGCAGCCGCTGACAAGTCATAGCCATTTCCCAGCCCTGAGTAATTCCCTTTGAATTCGGGGGCGGTCACCCTGACTAGGTGTGTGACCTCCATAGAGTCACTTAACTTCTCTGGACCTCAGTTCCTTCATCTGAGAAATGGGAAGAAAACAACAGGATCTCCCTTTTGGGCTGTTGGGAAGATTACATGGGATGGCATATATAAGATTCTTAGCATTTGGTGACCATGACTTCAGGACCAACACCTGTGTCACAGGGTCACGGCAAGGGGCTCTCTGTAAAGACCCTCTCACCCCAAGCTTCCCTGAGCCTACGGTCCTATGGACCATCTTGAGTTGGGGAGAAATGGGTGTAAGCCAGGAGTCCCCTAGGGGCATGGAGTGCCTTGCCCACAGCTGGGTGGGGGAGGGGAAGGAGACTCACAGCCACGTAGCCCTTGGCCGCAGTGAGGGCCTCGGCTGCCAGCACGTGGGCCTGCACCAGATTGCGCACGTGCACCCAGTTCATCCGCGTCCTGCAGTCCCCGAATCGGAACATGAATAGCCTCTTCTTGATGTGGCTCTGGAGGGAGTGATAAACACAGACTCAGGCCTGGAGTGGCTTTGAATACTATTTATATGATGATGGCTCCCAAATTTCCAGCTCCAGGCAGAACTCTCTGGCCCAGATCCCTGTCCTGACATTGCCACGTGGTGGTCACTTGTCCCTGTCCTGGAGCGAGTGCCTGACCTTCCAGCTCCTGTTCGAGTCCCCCCACCCCGCTGCCACCTCACTGGACAGCACTCGCAGCTTAGGCTGAAACCCTGGGGCCTCCATCAGCTTTCCCTTCTCTGCACTCCTCGTCCAACCCATCTGCAAATCTCACTGGCTCCGCTATTTCACTCTGTCCAGAACCCAGCTGCTTCCCACCGCCCGGGCTGCTGTCCCCCTCCTCTCCCCGGAGACCGAAACAGCCTCCGAACCTGTCCTCACTTCCACCCATGGTCCCCACGCTTGCTCTCCACACAGCCAGGGGCATCTTCCCGAATCTTCGATCCCGTGTCTCCCCGCTCAGAACCTTCTGCTCACCCACCCACCCACCAAAAGAAGTCTTGACAACGGCCAAAGAGGCCCTTCTGATCTGGCCCAGCTACCTCTACGAACTCCCCTGCCCACTGAGCTCCAGCCATGCGGGATCCCCCCAGGGTGTGCGCCAGGCTCCCATCTCAGGGCTTTGCATTGGCTGTTCCCTCTGCCTGGAAGGGTCTCCCTCCCACCTAGCGTGATGCACCTGCCACCTGCTCAAGGAGGCTCCCTGGCTGCCCGGGTGCCCAGCTCCCATACCCTGCTCCCCCTTTCCGGTTTCTTTGCATCACACCTCGCGCTTTCAAACACTCTTCATCATTTATCATGTTTATTCCCCATCCCCTGTGAGAACAGAAGCCCCTCCAGGGCGGGAATGGTCTGTTTTACTCACTGATCTGTGGCAAAGCCCAGAGCAGCGACCTTTCTCATTCCCGGGTTTGTACCCAAGCTGCCTACTTGGTTTGAACTACATTTCCTCTCCCACCGCATTTCCTTGGTTCATTCTCTCTTCCCCTTCCACACAGCACAGGCACCATCCTGGAGCTCCCCTGTCAGCTCGCTCTGCTGTGCTCCCGTATTCTCGTTCTTCCCTCCACACAGGCCCGGCTGCACTGGCTCCGTGACTGTGGCATCTGTCTCTCTGACCAGGCTGGGAGCGATCTGAGGACAAGGCCCACAGTCCCTCGTAGCTGTATTGCTGGCACCTGACTCTGGAGGGAGGCTTTCTAGAGGAAGACCTTGGGCTGACAGCGTGGGCTGAGCTCTCAGGCCCCCGGGGAGCCCATAGGCTCCCTATGCCTCTCCAGGGTCGTAGCTCTGGGACTCCCTGACCTATGCCTAACCCAGGCAGGTGCACACTGAGACCTTTGTTCCTGGTGGGTCCATAGGGGTAGGGACATCTCCCAGAACTAAGAGTCCCAGGCTCGGGATGTTGTTCCACAGAGAGATTGCGGGCTGGAAGGGCCCCGATCCATGCACACAGCAGCCAGGCTCGTCCTGAGCCTCAGGCCCAGGGCCAGGCTGACATACCGCCACGCGGGGCAGGTGCCTCTGTTCTTCAGGCCCATAGATCCCTGGGGGCCGGAGCACACACGTCCGCAAAGTGCCTCCTCCTAGGATACAGGGAGGGGAGGTCAGGGGCCTGGGGAGGGGTGGTCCAGCAGGGAGACACACAGAAATGCTGTCCAGACCTCCTGGTCCTTGCCTGGTTAGCAGGGAACACAGGTCCTTGGGGCTTCCTTATTCAATTAATTATTCTCAGTCATCTGTTAGTCATTTAACAAACAATATTCAGAGGATGACCAACCTCTACCCCCAACACTGGGTCCTGGGAATCCAAGGATAACCAAGAGGAGAATCCAAGGATAACCAGGAAATGGTCCTTGTCCTCACGATGCTCACAGGCCAGTAACAGAGGTAAGACCTGGGTGTGGGTATGTACACGGCCCAAGAGTTCACCCAGCACTCGACAGACGTAATCTCCTTTCACTCCCTTCAGAGTCAACTGTGCCCATTTTACAGTGTACTCCGTCTTCCTTTGGGGGCACCTCTCTCTCTGCACAAGGTCTTAGGGGGCTGTCAGTCTGGATGCACCAGAAGTGTCACCGTCCCCTGAGGTGGTGGCCATGGGACCCAAGCTGGGCCAAGGACATATTCACACCCAAGAACGTGACTCAGCATCACCGACACCAGGATCTGAAATCTTACGAGTGGGTTCATCCTGAAGAGACTGGTCGCCACCTCCTGCTGCCCAATCCCTGGGGCTGCCCCAACCCTATCCTTTCTGAGCCCTGGTGGTCATTTTTCCGGAAGTTTTTTTCCCAAAAACGATCCTACATCCTTCAAGTTCCTTTTCCCATCAACTCAGCCAGGGCCAGTGTCATTGGTCATAACCAAACACCCTGACTGCCTCCCTGCCAACATCCCCACTTTACCATGAGGCCAATATAGTGGCTTGAGGGGTGGCACCCGAAAAAGATAGGTTCATGTCCTGGAACCTGCGGATATGACCGTATTTGGACGCACGTCTTTGCAGATATAAAGAAGGATCTCAAAATGAGATCATTTTGGATTATCCGGTGAGCCCCAAATCCAACATCTTTGTAAGAGACTCACAGAGAAGACACATGTGGACCCTAAGAATGCGGAGGGCCACCATAAGCTGCTGAGACCAGGAGAGTCTCCCCTACAGCCTTTGGAGGGAGATCAGCCCAGGATGATCTCAGACACCTGACTGTGAACTGAGAACCATGAGAGAAGACATTTCAGTTTTAAGCCACCACGTTTGCCATCAATTGTCCCATTTGCCCTGAGCTGAGATCTGCAATCCTGGGGCTCCGCGTCAGAGACCAGAGCCCTCCACGCTGAGTTAGAGGCAGAGTCTCAGGGACCTGCTTGTGTTAGCAGGGACTGGAAATCATCCAGGGTGACCATGGCTGGACTCCTGGAAGGCAGGTATCAGGTGAGCTTTTCTGTAAACAGTCTGCGGCTAATTTTAAACTCTGGGTCACCTGGGCATGATGGGGGGAGGTCTGGTTGCAGCGGACATTGGCCGGCGGGGCGCTGGGCAGTGACGTCAAGGAGGGGCGGAGCCCAGGGTATCCATGACTCCTGAGCACGGAAAGCTGGGGATGCTCATATAAATAATTCTTGGCCGAAGGATTAAATGTCTGGTTTGCAGGCTGCTGCTCCGGCCAGGGAAGGCCCCAGGCAGAGAAGAGAATTCAACCACAATAGCATCAAACCCCTGGGAAAACCCAGCTGGATGTGTGTTCGCACTGGGGTCAGGGGTCAAGGCCTGACAGGTCCAGGGTGCCAGGGCAGGATGGGGAAGATTTTAGGGAAAAGAACCCATGCTCGATGGCTTGCTCAGCTGTGGCAACAGTGAAGCAGGATGGTTCAGCTCCAGGCTCTGGTGTTAGATTAGACCCTCCTGGTGTGGGGAGAGGGGGAGTTCATATCCCACCTCTGCCACCTAACAGCTACAGGACCTTCAGGAAGTCTGTTCACCCTGCAGCCCTGGCCTCCCCTCCATAAATCCACAGATCATCATTGCAAACATCCGTCACTCTCCAAATCTACCTGGCTCCTGAGTTTTTATACTTTAGATAGTAAGAGAAACCACATTTTCTGATTCTTTTTCATTTCTGGGTTTTGGAAAGCGAACAGTGATAATCTGGACAGCAAGGAATTTATCTGGATCAGTCTGGCTCCTGAGTTTGGAAAGCAGGGGACCCCTCAGGTTCTTAGTTCACGCAGATGATGTGAAGCGTTACTGAGAACTCTGCACATAAAATGAGCATGTAAAACAGGGCCAGGAAGTGCTTGGCAAATGCAAACTGTCCATATTCCTTTTTTTTTTTTCCTTTTTAAACAGTGCCTGTTATTATTTTATTCTCATACGAGCTCTTCGAGGGAGATTCTATTATCATCCCCATTTTGTTACAGGTGAGGAGCCTGAGGCATGGAAAAAAGTATATTGCCCAAGATCACATCACAAAGGTAGGAGGTGGTGGAGCCCGGATTTGAACTCACCTCAGCCTGAGCCAGGGTGTGGGAGCAGCCACTATGTCATACTGACACCTATGTTCTTTTTCAGTTTTTAAGATTTTTTAAAGTGTGCCATGGGCGGGGGGATGCAGGGCAGAGGGAGAGAGAGAATCCTGACGCAGACTCCCCACTGAGCGGGGAGCCCAACGCAGGGCTCAGGCCCAGGACCCTGAGATTGGGACCTGAGCCAAAATCAAGAGTCGGCTGCTTAACTGCCTGAGCCGCCCAAGGCCCACCTATCCCCGTTCTAGCACTGCTTCTCTGTGACCACAGGAGGGCGCCGCAGCTGTATCATCCAGTAAATTATTGAACTTGGAGCCTCAGAGCCCTCGCTCGCGTGGGCCTTCCGCCGCGCTCTGCCTCATCCCATATTCAGGATTCTGCACTCTGTTAACCTAAAGAACATATTTGGGGCGCCTGGGTGGCTCAGTGGGTTAAAGCCTCTGCCTTCAGCTCAGGTCATGATCCCAGTGTCCTGGGATCGAGCCCCACATCGGGCTCTCTGCTCTGCAGGGAGCCTGCTTCCTCCTCTCTCTCTCTCTCTCTCTCTGCTGCCTCTCTGCCTACTTGTGATCTCTGTCTGTCAAATAAATAAATAAAATCTTAAAAAAAAAAAAAGAACATATTTAAACTGGATCCTCTCCTACGTGGCAGAAAAAAGACCCACTTCTATCTGGCCTCTTCCCTCGCTCAAGACGGTGAGTAACATGAGGGCAGAGACTGGACCGGACTTTCTCAGGACTGTATCCCCAGTTGGGGGTTGGGCACACAGCAGGGGTCAGAACCTGTGGAGTGATGAGTGACGAAGGCCCTGGGAGCTGTCCTTTTCCAAGAAAGGTGAGCCTCAGAGACACAGAAGCTAAAAGCCAGACTCCCCCACGCACTCTGGGGGTGGCGGCTGGGCCCCAGGGTACTCACCTGGGAGAGGAGTTCCGTTGGCCATGAGGGTCAACTGGTCGGCAATGGCTTTGGTTCGCGAGTAGTGATCCGTGTGCTGCCGGAAGACAGGGACAAGAGAGCCACCGGGCAGGGTTCGGCGACCCCGCTGGCACCGGGCCGGCCCCTCTGCTTCAGACCACACAGGGGTGGGATTCTGGGGACCCCCCCTGAGAAATGGCCAAGTCCTGAGCCCCAGTGCCTTTCCTTTCCCCCCGGGGGGGCAGCCACAGGAGCAGAGTTTGGAGCAGTAACAAGAAGCAGGGTCCCTCCACTCAGGGAGGCTCCTGCCGGCGCCCGGGGCCTGCTCTGGGATGCGGGCGGATGCTGCACGTGGGCTGGATGGACTTCTTCCATGTAGTTCTTTAGTGCTCTGTGGCTTTTCCCCATAACATCCCATTTCCGGCTCACCGCACCCCCACGGGGCAGAGTGGTCACGCCCAGCTAAAGAAACAGAGGCTCGGAGGAAAGTGACTTGTGCAGAGTCCCACAGGTAGAATGTGGCTGGGCTGGCTCAAGGCCAGGTCTGTGTGATTTCAAAACCCCTGCTGCTGGCGTGACCCGCTGAAACAGGAGACGGGTCGTGCTACTCAGTTTTGGGGACCCCTTCTTCCCGGGACTCACCCTGAGTTGAGAGGTTGACCCCGTTTTCCACCCATCCTGACCCTGTGGCCTGGGGTGGGGGGTTGTCCCAGGCCCTGTGGCCCTGCCCACCTCTCCTGGAAGCCAGGTACCTTCTCCAGGGGGAAATATGGCACAGAGTCCTCATCACCCTGTTCTATGGGCTTCCCGCCGAAAACGACGTTGACGGTGCTGGTGTAGATGAGCCTTGGGACCCGCCGACGGACACAAACTGCAATGACGGGGCACAGAGCAACACACACACACACACACACACACACACACACACACACACACACAGAGCCTATGTGAGTGGGAGTTTTCTGAGAAGCTGGGACCCAGTCTTGGACACACATCCTGGCCCTGGGGTCCGCCCAGAATCCAGAGGCACTCAGGAGGGAAGGGGTGTGGGTCACGTCCCTGCTCTGTGGGGTCCCAGGGGCCAGGCTGGCTCACTCCTTCTCAGTGTGGCCGTAGGCCCTGAGCTACCTTTCTGGGGACAAGTCCGAAGAAAGTCTCACTTGAAGGGGACATAGAAAAAAAGACACTCTAGAATCAGAGAGAAAAACAGGACAAGGCAAGACATGCCCAGAGGCCACAGGTGTGGGTCTTGTATTTTGGGGCTTCAGTGACTTTTCTAATCCCAAATCCCTGAAACGCAAACCCCGTGCTACCTGTGTCCCCAGACATGCTGTGGCCACGCTGACCCACCCCACATGGAGGCCTGGGCAGGTCCGCAGTACAGTGAGGATGTGCTGCCCACAGGCCCTCCCCTGGCGTGGGCAGGGGGAGGGGAGGAGGGTCCCCCCTCTGTCCCCCTGCCCTGTCCCCAGAGCTGGGCCTGTGGCAGGAAAGGGGACAGAGCAGGAAACACACAGCAGGTCACACTGAGCTCTGAGTGCCTACCACTGATCACCAGTTTGGTGCCTCCAACATTTATAGACTCAATCTGCTCTTTTTGCAGCTAAAAGACAAGAGGGAGGTGGGAGAGTCGTGGTGCTGCTCAGGCCTCGTCATGGAAGGCGGGTAAAGCTGGGCTTCGGGTGGGGCCAGGCGGGGATGCAGACTGTCGGGGCTGGGCTCAGGAGCAAGGATCTGAAAGGCCCGCAGGCGGTGCAGGAGCCCTGGGCCCCAGGGCCCAGCTCTGCCACCATTCCCCCCCCCCCCCCGGGAAGGCCAGCACACAGCTCCATCTCCCACCTGGCCCTCAGCTCCCCCGCCTGCAAAGGGAGGGCAGACCCCCTTGGACGGTCGATAGGATTGAATACACCCCACGGGAGGACCTGGGACCCTGGGACGGTGTGTGACACAGAAAAGGGACCCAAAATGTGTGGGATCATTTCCTCACTCTGGAAGTCTGGGTTTCCTTGGCTGTTGGACAGGGTGACACTGTCCCTGCTCTAGCAAGGTCGGGGTGTGGTGTGAAAATAAAAACACCTTGTCTACACAGAGAAAGCTGCTTGTGTTCCCCGGGACAGGGCGAAGCCTTTACATCTCTCTTAATTCTCACAACGAACAGGAGGTGGGTTCCGTCTCAATTTTTAGACTATGAGTTTTTTTATTTAATAAGTAATAGAATCACAAAGTTAAAAATAGCTCAAATAGGGGCATCTGGGTGGCTCTGTTGGTTAGGTGACTGACTCTTGGTTTCAGCTCAGGTCATGATCTCAGGGTGTTGGGGTGGGGCCCAGGGTTGGGCTCTGTGCCTAGCACATAACTTGCTTAGATTCTCTCTCTCCCTCTCTGCTCCTCTCCCTCCCCCATCGTTCTCTCTCAATAAATAACAAACTAAAAAAATATTAAATTAAAAAAAAGAATATTTTTAAAAAACCCTCAAACAGTAAAAGAGGTGTACAGGAAAAAGGAAATTTCCTTCCCACTCCTGATTCCCAGCCTTCCCCCAACCCCCTAGCAGAGGCAACCACTGTTACAGTCTGTGTATTTCTAGAGATAATCTATACTTATGAATATCAGCACACAAATACAAATGAGCATATAAATATTTATCCTAGTTTCTTCCTTTTTTTAAAATACAAACAGGAGGATACCAAACACTGTTTTTGTGCCATGGAAATTATTCTGTTATCAGCACATTCTGATAGAACTTCAATGTGTGGATAACTTACAATTTATTTAAATAGTCCTTACTGATGCATTTACATTACATCCTGTGTTTTGTTATTATGAACAAAGCTGCAAATGTAGGCGTAGTGTGATTTCGGAGCCTGAGGGTATCTCTGTATGTTCTGACAGGCCCCCTCACACTGAGGAGGTTCTGACGTGAAAACCAGTACAGATGAGGAAACAGAGGCTCAGAGAGGTTAGGTTAACTCGCCCTAGGTCCCACAGCTAGAAAGTGACAGAACTAGCATTTGGCCCCATGGATGCAAAATGTGGGCAGGGTTTCGTGTAAGTCCTTCCTGGATCAGGTGTCCCCCATCCAAGTACTAACCAGGCCCCACCCTGCTTAGCTTTCGAGATCAGCCATAGACCTTCCTGGCTTAGGTGAAGGGTGATAACAAACACACAGCATGGTGGCCGGCGGGGTTGGGGGGTGTGTGTGTGGGCAGAACCAGGATCTGAAGCCTGATCTAACTCCAGCTGCTGTATGCGGGGGCGGGGGGGGGGCTCACCTTCTCAGCACCGGACATTCCATAGGAGGCCACATGGAAGACACAGTCCACCCCTTCGAAGGCACGGTACAGGGCTTCTTCATCGCGGACATCTGCCTGAAACAGAGAAGGAAGAGACAGGGACTGGAGGTTTGGGTCCAAGGCAGAGATACCAACTGTGTACCTTGCCAGGTCCCAGCCCTGGTCCCCTGACCCCACCCTGGCCAAGCTCCTGTAGGAGAGGCTGTGGGGCAGGAGGTACTAGATGATTCTACAGGGTGTCACTGGCTTCAGCGTCATTGGCCCCATTTATCAAGCTAAGTCGCAGGGGCTGTGCTGGCTGTTTTAAGCGCGCTGTCTCACTGACTCCCTAACGACCTTCGTGAAGCCTTCCTTCCCTGGATGAGAACACAGAAGCTCCAAGATGTGGAGCCTTGTTGCCCGGCTTCAACAGTCCCACTCCAAGAGCCTGTGCTTTTCACTGGCCTCACATCAGATACTGTCCCCACATCTCCACCATGAGCCTGGGCCCCCCACCCTTTCCCCGAGATGCTCATCACTGCACCTGGATGAACTCGGTCCCCGGGGACAGCTCCCACTGCGGTCTGCGGAGGTCGAGCAGTAGGACGGAACTGCCACTCTTGGCCAGGCTGGAACCCAGGCTAAAGCCCAGGTAGCCTCCTCCTCCGGTCACCAGAACCTTCTGCCGAGGGGCCTGCATGTGTGTGGCCTGAGTCTTTAGCTGCGGGGCTGATGTGGTGGCTGTCTCTGGCTCACTGGGTTTGGGCCCAGTTCCAGACCCCCTTCTGGGCCGAGGCTCTACCCCTGGTCCAGGTAATGGTGCAGCTTCTGCCCTAGGTACAGGCCCAGGGGCTGACCCAGCTCCTGCCCCAGACCCCAGACCCGGCCCAGGTCCTGATGTAGTACCAGGCCCTGGCCCAGGTCTGGACCCAGCACCAAGCTCTGGTCCAGTTTCCAGAACCACACCATGTCCTGGCCCATGTCCGGACACAGCACCAAGCCCTGGTCCAGGTTCTAGAGTCACACCAGGCCCTGGTCCAGTTTCCAGAACCACACCAGGCCCTGGCCCATGTCTGGACCCAGCACCAAGTCCTGGCCCAGGTTCTAGAGATACACCAGGCCCTTGTCCAGTTTCCAGAACCACACCAGGCCCTGGCGCATGTCCAGACACAGCACCAAGCCCTGGTGCAGGTTCTAGAATCACACTAGGCCTCGGCCCAGGTCCTGACATAGCACCAGGCCCCAGAACAGTAGCAGGCTCTGCTCTAGATCCTGAAGCAGTACCTGGCCCGGGCCCAGGCCCTGACTCCGACCCCAGGCCTGAGATTCCTCCCCAGGCATGGCAGACAGGGCAGCCCTTCTCACCCTGGCCTGCAGCTCTGCAGGCCTCCGGGGAGGAGGCTGCGGTGTTGGCCTTCATCCTCTCCTGAGCCGAGTGGGCCAAGGGATCTGTCCGCCTTCAGAGAAAAACAAAAAAAAGGATATTCTTGAGTTGTCTCAAGTCATGTGGAGTAGCAGGCTAAGGGGAACTCCTGGTGGGGCTCAGAGACACTCTGACTTTCAGTGAAACTGCCCCTTTCAGAATTTTGAGAACTTTCAAGGTGCTGCTTCCTCCCTTAGAAAGAGTCAGAGACAAAGGCAGTTGGGCCTTGGACTTTACAGCTGCGGAAACTGAGGTGCAAAGTCACACTGCATGGCTGAAGTTTACACCAAGCATTCCTGATTTCTCTACCAGTTCCTTAAAATTCCAGTTCCTGTGTAGCACCAGAGGAAGACAGATCCAATCAGGCCCAAGGGAACCTCACCAGACTGGGGGGTGACTGCTTTGTGACTGGGAAGATGGGGAGGGAGGGCTTCCTGGAGAAAGAGGGGGAAGGTAGAGGAGGGAGATGAGGGAGAGGAGGAGAAATAGAGGGAGGAGATGAGGAGGAGGAATCCACATGGGATCCAAAAGGGCTCTGTGCTCAGAAACCGGCACGCGATTCCAAGTGTCGCACGGCCTCTACCTCGAAAGCTGCTGCCTCCAGTTCTCCCGGGCGGCCCGCTGTGCAGGGAGCTGGCACTACAGGTCTGTCCAAGCCCTCTGCTGAATTCAGGGTCAGATGTGTGAACCCTGAGGTCCGGCACCGAGGGTCCTGCTGTCCTCACTCCAGGCTCCAAATGAGCCAGGCTGTCAGTCAGTCACCACCATCATCTCACCGCACCCCATGCCCAACCCCATTCCACCTGAGGACAGGGTTGGCACCAGGGGCCAGATAATCATGATTGCCAGTAATCATGGCAGCCACGGTGTCCGGGGGGCCAGCCATTGGCCAGGCCCTGTGGATAGAGACAGGTGTCTCTGCTCTGCATGATGCCTATTGGGTGTAGACTTTTAGTCTCTGTTGTCACTGCCCCGCTCTTCAAAGTTGCAGGTGAGGGACCCAGTCCCACCCTGCACGAACACTGGCACTCATGGGTTTAACAGTGGGGAGACACACCAGATCTGAGTCTAATTACCAGGTAGAGAGGGGAGAGGAGGCAGCCCCACAGCAGAGAGCCCTTCTTTACTCAGGACTGTTCTGGGGACGGGTCTCTGGGACCAGAGCCATCTTCCCAGCCTGTGCGGATGCTTTTTTTGTGTGACCAACACTGGGTGTGCCCTTAGGCAAAAGCCTTAAAACCTCACTGCACCTCGGTGTCCACAGCTGTAAAATGGACCCAAACAATCCTGGCTGCTCCCTCGCCTCACGGGGTGGTCACGAAAGACCAGATGCCAGAGCCCTTGGCGAACCACCGGAAAGCCTGCTCCAGGAGGGCCTCGTTCACTGCAGCGTGCTGGCGCCCAGCAGGTGGGAAGCCGCGGCTGATTGCTAAGAGCTCTTCTGCACCTGGGACCACCGGGTTGACCCCAGCCGCGATGGCACTGTATTCTGCTGGCAGTCCTGGGCACTAGAGGCTACTGTTCCCATCACCCAGAGCTGGAAACTGGGGCTCAGAGAACATTGACGAACTTTGATGGGATCTCAATAAATGGGTCGGCCTGGATCCAGGTCACTGGGGACCCAAAGTGGGGTTTGGTGAAAGGAACTGGGGAAGGGGCGTCAGGGACCTGCTCTTCATATTGCCTCGTGGCGACGGGCAGGAGAGGGTGCTCTCCACTCGGAGAGCAGCCCGGCCCCGCAGCTCCCGGCGTGTCCTCCGGGGACCCCCAGCCCGCCGCGCCCCCTGCCTCCGCGGCTCCCGCAGCC